TTAGATATGCTATGTAGGTACCTGTTCAAACATGTAAACTTTAGTACCAGTTACCTCGACCCGCACACTAGGACATTACCCTTAAAAGAGTATCTGAATATTTGCACTTATTTGTGTATGAACCTTATTTGAGAATTGTGACCAGATTATCTCTTGATTGAATGATTGCACTTACTTGAGTGTGAGAACCTTATTTGAGTGCAAAATTTCTCTTGTTTGAATATCTATGTTTTTTTAGAACTAAAACTACTAATGTTAAAAAATTGTTGATTGCAGGTACAACTCCAGGAACTCTGTTCTTGAATGGTCTATAGTTCTCATTGATAACTCAAACCGAAGGTGAGCTCATTTTAAAGTGTAAAAAAATCTATTACGAGCCTTTTGTTTGTTTAGTCTCTAAGGCGAGGCCTGTTGATTGGTGCAGTGGGTCCCTAGAGTTTTCTGTGCCTCCTGTGGATCCATCAAGCTTTTTCCCGATATCTGCTCGTTTTACTGCTTCAACAACTTTTAGCAACTTGAAGGTTAGTTATTTCTTTGCTGGAACTGTGTTTAAGATGAGACACATTGCTGGCAAGATGGGGTAAATATTGGGGTGGATGACGTTTCTTGGTCATGCATACCCTGGCCCCACAGGCATGCTCAAGAAAGTGTGCATTAGTCTCTACAACAAAAACTACTAACCCGGTAAAATCCACAAAAAGTAGGGCGTGTTTACGCAGACCTTATCCCTACTTGGATAAGTCATTTGGAAACATTCATAAACGGTGAGAAATAGTTTATTAAATAATCTGGTCAAAATGGAGTTTTGAAAAAACTGGGTTAAAAATATATAGGTAAGACCTACTTATTTTTTCTGATTTGCTTATAAGCACAAGGAAACACCCACTATGTTTGGTTTAAGGAATTTTAAAGGAAAAAAAAAAGAAAATGGATTTCTCTCGTTTTTCTCACTAAAATGGAGTATTTTAGTTTTCCTCCTCTTTAGTACTCCCTCCGTTTGGAAAAAGTGTTCCTATTTTGACTTTGTGTAAAAATAAGGAAGTGTTAAATTGTAGTTGACTTCCAATTTTGCCCTTGATGTGATAGGTAAAAGTAAGTTGTGATGGATAGATTATTAGAGATAAAGTATGATGTGATAGGTAGGGTATGAAAAAGTGAGAGTAAAAGTGGCTTTTTAATAGAAAGTGGAAGTGTTTTGTTGGAAGTGAAAAAAAATGAAAGAGGAAGTGTTTTAAAAAACGGAGGGAGTACATTTTTCCTTCTCATTTTCTTTTTCTTCCACTTCTTTTCTTTTCATATCTAACCAAATAAGAGAAAAATTTTTTCAATCTCATTTTCTTTTCTTTATCCTCTCAAATTCCTTAAACCGAACATGGTGCTAAAGTTCTTGTTATGAAAAATTGCAGGTGACCGGCATCTTGCCGCTGCGGGGTGGGCCCGCGCCGAAGTTTTCACAAAGAACTGTGTTGACAACTGAACATTACCTAGTGGAGTAAGAGAGGGGTCTTTATAAACATGTCGTCCTCTGTAATAATTTCATTTGCTGATTATATATTCCCTTTGGTAAGTTTTTTCTTTTTGACATATATGAGGTGAATTCTCAATAGTGGTCTTTCTTCTCTACCTTTTCTTCACAAATGAACCAAAGTTTCCTGTTGGACATCTCCATAGGTACTCCTTTATATTGGGATTGTCTCATTTTCATTTAGCATTTTTTTCTTCATGAAAATAATTGACTGAGATTTAGAACTTGTTCTATTCGTCTGATTTGATTTGTTTTGGTATGAATTTATTAAGATCTGATCATGGGTGATCTGTTTAGAGTTAAAGTTGTTCTTCGTAGGTGTTTCTGATCTGAATTTATTTATTTTTGGTCTGAAATGAAATGAGCAGTCCGCTTGAATGATATATGCCGTGAGCTTTGGTTCATGGCTTATTGTGGTCGTTTTGAAGCTCTAAAATGATTTATTGTGGTCGTTAATCTCGACCCACACATATCATATGAATGTGAGTGCTTCTATGACATCTTGGGTGCATATTATTTTTGTTGACCTTCTCATATAAAAAATATACTTCGTATTTTTTTATTAAAAAAATGAATGTTTATTTAAGCAGTAAAGAAATATTTATTTTGCTCATATGTAGATCTGTGGTGGATCTTAGGTCCACCATAGATATTGCCATTTTGAATTACGGAGTATTATGTAGAGCACTCGTCATTTCTAATTCTACTACATTCCATCTATGTGCTTTATTTGCTGATACTAAGACATCTTTTCTTCGTCTGATGTGATTTGGTTCTAGTTAAAATTAAAATTGCTTTTATTCGATCTGAGATTTTAATAAAAATATACTTTCAATAAGGTGTATTGACATGGGTCCCAATTGGAATCTCTTGTCATAGGATGTCATGAGTTTCATTTATGGTTCTCATGACGTTTCTTTCAAAAACATTCACGGTTCAATTACACCTCGTAATTTTAGTTGACTTTGGAGTAGAGTATGTTGATTGGAGCAAAGTATGGTGAGAGGAGGAAAATATGACACCTTTTTTGTTTTGGCATATGGTAAACAAATTGAAAATTCTACTCGTACTATTTTCTTTTACACTAATATTCTGAAAATCGTTAGATTTTATATTTGAAACTTTTTTTAGTAACTTAATTGGATGCCTTATAGGCTTTTGGCAAGAATCTTAAAAAAAGAATTATTTGGAAAAAAAATTGAAGTATAATATTTCAATTTAGAGTTTTTAGATACGTTAACATGTAACTTATTCTTTGTAAAAATAAATATTTTAAAGAACAATTTTATAATATTCTTGAAATCTTATACTCGGGTGAAATTCATTTTAGACTTACCATATCGTTGATGCAAAAATTTTACATTATTAATTTCTTGAAATACGCAATGGATATAAAAAGTAAGAGTAGGATTGAGATAAATTCAGATCAAGCTATGTTGCCAAAAAACAAATCAAAAGAATTTGAAAAAAATAAAAAAAAAATAGGGTCTTGTTCTTCTGGCCTAAAATCGGGCTCGGGAAAAACTGGTTTGGACCAGGAAGTTTCAAGTTAGGGTTCCAGTCTTATCCTTTACTCGATTCTGATTTTTTTGTTTTCTGATTTCGGTCGGGTTTCAGATATTCACCCTTGCCAACTAAATATTTTTTTTGGATTTTAAAGATTCATTTTCATATATTTTTCTTTATTTAAAGTTACTTTTGATTTTTCAATAACATACTTTGTCACAATATCGTTGTCAAGTTTGATTTTTTTAAATCAAGCATGATGAATTTTAGACTTCAATTAATCTCTCTTTGTATTGCATATTAATACAATAAAATTAAATTTTAAAAGTTCTCAATAAGTTAAATTTTTATACTAATATAATTTTTTTAATTAAGGTCCAAAATTAATCCAATTTGGCTAAAAGAAATCAAACCAGATGAATATACTGAGAACACCAATTTGCATTCTACTCCCTAAAATATTACAGTATTTTCTTATACGACTACTCCCTCCGTCCCAAATCATAATGCATGTTCACTATTCATAGAATCAAAATTCATTCACTTTCTTTCTCTATTTTCGTTAGCAATTTGATACTCCCTCCGTCCTAAAACTTTCTTCCCGATTCGCAAAACGAAGAAAAATCTCAAGTTTTTTCAATCTATTTTATTTAAATATTGGTATAGAAATAAAAAATAAAACATACATATTTAAAAACTACATCAAAAGTTCAACAAAACAAGTGGTGACAAGAATATTTTATTTTATCATATAGGCCATGAAAAAACACAAATAAATATAAATTCTCGTGAAGTTTGAATAGTGCTCTGGGAAAAAGTTTTAGGACGGAGGGAGTAAAATGAAATATTGTTGCCACTACTAGTTTTGTAGATCTTTTGATGTAATATTTTGATATGTAATTTTTATTTTTTAACTCTATACCATTTGTCATATAAAATGATTTGAAAATAATTTCAGTCAAACATCGTAAACCGAAACATGCGTTATAAAATGGGACGGAGGGAGTACTTTTTAATGTAAAGTTCACACCAATTTGCCACAAAATATTTTATGAGAACGAGTTTAATTCCATGGGGTTGAGTTAGGCCCCGTTCCGTTCAACTTATTTTTTCTTATTCTTATTAAAATCAGATCAGATCAGATCAGATCAGATCAGACCAGATCAGATCGAATCAGATCAGATCAGATCAGATCGAATCAGATCAGATCAGATCCAATCAGATCAGATCAGATCAGAGACTTATTAAAATAAGATCTCATCAAGAATTATTATTATTATTATTATTATTATTATATTATTATTATTATTATTATTATGATCATCATCATCATCATCATCATTATTATTATTATTATTCTTAAAAATGAAAAAGAATAAACTTTAGAAATAGGTTAAATAAAAAGCTGAGAAAGTAATCCTTAATTATTAGACGTCGGAAAAATTAGTTTTAAAATACATTAACAATGTCAATCTAATTCTACTTTTAAAATATATTTTTATTGCTCTTTGTAATTTGAGTTTCTAAACTTTTGATCTTTTATAAGGATGAGATATTTTAATAAAAATACTATCTCTTCTATATATTGATTATCTAAATTTAATTACTTTTAAATGTATATCTAAATTAAATATTTATTCTAATGTATAATTCTAATTTTACAAAAAAATTATCATAAAATAAAAAATATTATTACATTATAATATGAATAAAGTCAAATTAAATTATTGATTTGAAATTTTAAATTAAATCATAATTAATCAGATCAGACCAGATGAGATCAGATCAGATCCAATCAGATCAGATCCAATCAGATCAGATCAGATCCAATCAGATTAGATCAGATCCAATCAGATCAGATCAGATCAGACCAGATCAGAACTTATTAGAATCAGATCAGATCAGAAAAAATAAGTTGAACGGAACTGATCCTTAGTAGTAGCAATGACGTGTAGAAATCCCTAAAGACGTTCCCACATTTAGCCCTAAAGTATAAATTCTTTCAATTGAAATCGGTTCTGACCCGCAACCAAATTCCTCTCCAAAAAAAGCATTTTTTGTTAAGGTTTCTTCATTACTCTGATAATTGTGATCTGAAATTGAAAACCAACATCTTCAATCCTCCGATCATCTTCTCCATTTCGCATTTCTTTGTTTGAATTTTACGTTAACACGCCGCCATAGATAATAGTCTTTTTTTCTTTGGACCGAGAAAAATGCCGACGAGTTGTGCCTTCCCTGAGGAAATCAATTCTGCGCCGGAATCGGCCCCCGGATCGCCCAACAACAAGATAAAATTCATGTGTAGCCACGGCGGAAAGATTCTCCCGCGGCCGTCCGACGGCCGCCTCAAGTACGTCGGCGGCGAGACGAGGGTTATCTCCGTCACCAGAGACATTCGATTTCAAGGTAGCGTTGATGTTATTGTTCTCATATTGTTTGTGCAATAACTTTCCTGTTAAGAATTTCAACCCTTTCTTCTCATTTGGTTATGGAAAAAAAATAGAAATTTAGAAGTTAGAATCACCAAATCAATGTTCAATGTGGAAATAATTAGAGATTTCTAACTATTTCATTGAATTCAATTGCTATTTTTGTTTGATAGTATGAGTTTTACTCCCTCTTTGCGATATTTGTTTCCATGTAATTTTTCTCTAGTTTTAATGGAACACTTAGGTTATTAAATTTATATGTAAATATATATTTAAAAAAATACTGATTTCAAAGTGAATCTCAAACAATAAAAACAACAAACTTAGTAAAATCCAATTGTTATTTGTGTTTGATAGAAGAGCAATGCTAGGGGTACACCATTTGGTGTACCCCAAATGTACACCACCCTCTTTTCCTCCACACATTTTTATTTGATTTTTATTTACTTATTTTTTTTGAATTTTTTTGCCTTTTTTAGTGGACAAGAAGGGGGTGGGGGACATTTGGGGTACACCTTTGGTGTACCCCTAGCATTTTTCTTGATAGAATGCTTTCTACTCCCTCTGTTCAATTCTTTCTTCATTCCATTTTTCACTATTTTCAATGCAGCACTTGTACCGAGTATTAAAAAATATGATATTTGAAAGCTTCATTTCAAAATGAATCTTAAATTGATATAAAAATTTTAATCATAATGCAATGCATGTTTTTCCATATATTATGCTCAAAGTATAAAATTATTAACCAAAAAAATTTTCAAACGGAGGAAGTATCACACTATGCCTTCCTTCCCAATAAACCATCATTTCCAAAATCTTGCATTTTTTTAAGAAGCAAACATTCTTCATTTCATGAATTGTATCCCACTCTTTGTATTGTATACAAGTTCAAGAATGCCATTCTAAATCATGAAAGTAAAAAAAATGGATTTGCTTTGGCTGAACAGAATTAATGAAGAAGCTCACATACCAAATAGAGGGAGACATGGTTCTCAAGTACCAGCTTGTCCCGGAGGACCTAGACGCCTTAGTCACAGTCAAATCTGACGAAGATCTCCGGTACATGATTGAAGAATGCGAGCGCTTGGGACCCGCCGGCTCCGCCAGGCTTAGGGCTTTCCTTTTTCCATCACAGCCGGTTGTGCTTGAACCGCCACCACCACCCCTCAGCCTCTCAGCAGAGGCCATAGAGCAACGCTATGTTGATGCCATCAATGGCATTGTTCGCCCCGGCCACACCTATAACCACTTGCTGGAAGGGATGAAGCTGCCTGCAGCCAAGCCCAGCCTTGGCCTGAACCGTTCTGTTTTCAGCATTTCGTCGGCGTGTTCTTCTCCAAGATCACCTGACAATGATGGGGTTTGTGTTCATAATAGTGACCATTTGATGCCAAATGGGGATTTCGCAAATGGTTATAATATGCATAGAGTTCACAGCATGCCTAGTTTTGGAAGTGGTCTGAATGGTCATTACACCCCTCCACTGAATGAGTCTCCACAATCTCATCACCACCAGCAAAACCAAGTGCACCACCATCATCATTTTCATGGATATCATCATCAGTCTGGCAGACCGATGGCGGATCATTACCATGGGCCGAAGCCCAACAACCGGTCGGGTTTGGTTAGGTCCCCAGGGAGTCCTCAACACAACAACAATAACAACAACTATTATTACCCGGGGAGAGAGAGCCGAGGCAAGATGGGGAGCTGTAACAGATGCGCGATGATGCCTCAGTTTGATGACTGTGGCCTTTGCTATGAGGTTCTGCGAAGGGAGAGAGCAGCGAGAAGTGCCTCCCCTAGTCCTATTCCTCTCAGTCCCCGGTATGGCCACAGTGGCGGCGGTGGTGGCGGTGGCGGTGGCTTTAGGTTGTGGGATGGTCCCATGACATCTGCAGAGACTTTCAACTGACAACAGATGTGGGGTGGGAGGTGGGGGTTAGCTGCTCACACTTTGAAGCACTACAATGTGTCAACTCCTGACAATATCAATGAAGGATGACAATGCATTAGAATTCCCTATTTGTCAATCTAAGATTAAATCTCAATTTATCTTCTTCTACGTGACTATCTGGCCGGTCCTAGGTGGATCCTAGTATGAAGATCTTTTTCTTTTTTTCTTTTTTTTTTGTTTTTGTTTTTTTGACAATGGATGTCATTTAGCATATGTCTTAGTAGGTGTGGATGAGTGATTGTATAGTAGTTATTAAAAGGTGTGTGACTTTTTGACATTGTGTATAGAGCAAGACAATCATCAATAAAAGCAAATTGGAATTGATTGCCAATAGTATTAAATATATTGTGATCTAGCTAGAAACTTCTTCATCACAAGTACATTTGCTTTCCAATTTTAAAGGAAAAGCTTGTTTATGCCAAATTATATTTTTGGGCACTTTTGATAAGAAGAGGAAATGATTGTGGAAAATGTTAGGCCTACACTACGCTTACATTATAGAAATCAATCTAGTCTATTTAAACTTTGAATTTCACAAACAAATTTCAAAAAAATCTAATTTGTTGTACACATATTATCTGTAAACATACAAAATTAGTTTGTGTCGTTCAAGTTTAAATAATAACAAAATGTATTGGTGTAGTGTAAATGCGATGTCCATAAAGCAATGCTCAACAATATATATGTTATGACTTGTGAATTTCTCCATCACTAAGAATCGAATTCAGTCACTCTTTTACACCTCTATTGACCACTTGAGCTATGTCACCATTAATGACACATTACATGGTGCAAGGATGAACTAGTGTACAACATTATAGCTTGCATTAATGTAGAAATCATAAATGTGAATATAAAATCATTTTGGAAATAAAATATTCCATTATACTATGATATTTTTGCATAGACTAATCTTTCATGACAGTTCACTATAATCATGCATGAAAAGTTGAATCAATACCGACATATATGTGTCTAGATTTATTCAATTTTAACGTATTGTAAGTCATAATGATAAAAACAACAAGAACAACAACCCAGTTAAATCTCACAAGAGTAGGGTATGGGGAGGCTGTTTCATAATGATAAAAATTAAATTTAAATTTCATACTCCCTCCGTCCCCCAATTTTTGTCCACTTTCATTTTTACACACCATCCAATGCACTTCTTTAATCCATTTTATCTTGTAATTTGTATATTAAAAAATTATAAAAATTATATATTAATAATTTATATGTTAAGACAAATCAAACAAGATCACACATGACTATATTTAGGCTTACACATTGAGAAAATTTGATGAGTCAAAGTGCTTAAATGAACAGTTCCAAAAGTCAAAACTGGACAAAAATTGAGGGATGGAGGGAGTAATTTTTTTAATTTGGTAAATATTTTTGAAGTTTCAAAGACCTTTCCTTCACCAAAAAGCCCGGATTCCAAGAGTGAAGAGTCAAAAGCGAAGCATATGAGTTTAAAAGCGCAGTAAAAGTGAGAGGTCCACTACACACAGAGAGACTTGGGGAGACTCATCATCGCCATTCTCACCTACTAGGGGTTTTTCTTCTTCTTCTTCTTCTTCAGCGCCAATCCGGCAACTGTAATCGGCCTGTGTTCTCATCGGTTTTCGTATTTTAATTGCTTGGGAATTTGATTGTGCCGACGTTTTGAGGCGCTTTCAGTAGAGATTGTGAAGTTGCTTGCTATGTTGCAGGAAATGGAGAGCGCGATTCCTCCCGCCGCGAGCTTCTTCCACTACTCCCCGACCGGCGTTCTCCAGGACCCGTTTCACAGGTCGCCGCCTCCTCTTACGGATCGTGAAAGGTAAATTTCGTTGGATTGGACTCTTTTCTGGATTGTACTCTAATTGAATGCTTTTCCGGTTGAATGAGTTGAAGGGATGTGTGATAGAATCGAATGCTTGTTTAGAATTCTTGAATCTGCAAAAAAAAGTTATAGTGTTGTTATTTAGCATAGTTGAATTACTTGAATCCCATCTTTCTTGATCTGTTTGATATTTGGTGGCACATATAATATTCGATTCTATGAGGTGTAGTGTGTTTTTAAGAATAAACCTCTCTCTGAAAATACCCATTCTGAGTAATGAATGTTAAAATCCAAACACACACACACACACACACACACACACCCATGTTCTGATAAGTGATTTGTTTGAATGACAGATATTTGACAGAATTATTTCAAGAGAAGAATAAGTTGGGACCATTCTTGAAATTACTCCCCGCGTGCAACATACTTCTCAATCGAGGTTGTTCCTTTGTTCTTCTTACCCGTACTTGATAGAGGCATATATGACCATACTTGTATGGAATGCTCAATTGTTATTACATGCTGTTATGAACTATACGGAAGCCTGATTCATTGTGATTAAAAATTAAATCTTCCAAACAGCAAAAGGGGTTGACTATAATGTTAAGTGTGGCAACTTGAAAGATATCTCTCTACACTTCGGGATGTATTTATGTAAATATTTATTTTTTGTGCGGGTGTGCATGTGACCACACGTATTGAAACAAGATTAAAATGGTTACACTTAAACTTGCTTGGTGATACTTGTAAACTGAAGTGAAGTATCTTCTTAAGATCAATTTAAAGTAACAAAGTGTCTTCCTTATCATTCTTAAATCTTAATCATCTCATATCATGAAAAATTAACACCTGTTACATGAGCTATTGCTTTAGTCTTGTGTTCTACGCGGTTATCGGACTTATAACATTGCTATTTGCAATGTGACAGAAATTGCTCGCGTTTTGGGATTGCTGTCCAACGAATTTGCAAACCATGGATGTATAGGGTTTGAGTATGGTCTCCCTGGGCAATACACCAATGGCATGCCATTAAATGTAGATCCATGGAGTACTCCCATACAAACAGAGGTACTCCGCTTTTCTCATTTTATGATTCCCGCTTTATAGTTTTTGTATGTTCTACATGGCTTGGGAACATGTTGACATATTTGCAATTTTTTTATAATGGTTACCACCCTTCAGAGGGGAAATGTAGAAAACTGACCAAATACCACTTGTTTCCTCAATATTAGTACAAAAGCAATAGAAATCTATATTTTAAGATGGAGTGAGTATTATTTAATTTTGTTAATGATCCACACATATAACGGTCTATGGCAATCTGGACTCAACTGAAAGAGCTTACACTACTTTCTTGACGTTTTGCTTATTTCAATTTTCAAGTATTATTAATTTTTAAACCAAGTTTGTATGAATAGTGGGCCATTTTAAAGGCAAAAGGTTTAAAATTTTAAAAATTTCAAGCCAATTCATAAGACAGATGACTAAAATTTATTTTAAAAAAATCATAATTAAATGAACTTGGTAAAATTTGACTGGCTGATTCACTTGCCTCATGGATTTTGCTTCAGGAAAATAAACTTCACAAAATGGCTGCGTTTCACGCTTCTCCTTTAGATTGGGTTGTAGCACAAGGACCTGCAACAACTCCTATCGTGAGGCGGGTCATCAGATTGGATGTACCTGTAGAGAAGTACCCAAATGTATTCAAAATTTCTATGTTTTGAATTTAAATTTGATAATTATTAAAAAGTTAAATCTTAATGAAAAAAGCATGCAGTATAATTTTGTAGGACGAATTCTCGGACCACGTGGTAACTCCCTAAAAAGAGTCGAAGCCATGACAGAATGCAGAATATACATTAGAGGGCGGGGCTCAGTGAAGGATTCAGTTAAGGTATTATATTATTTTTACTCCTAAATCCTAGTCTTACAAGTATGAAGCAATGTTACTATCCATTTGGTATTTCAAGTTCATATGATTCTTATCTCTGTTTCTCCACCGAGACATGTACCGTATGATAGAAAATTTTGGGTATGAAAGATGAGAAGCATTATTTTTGGATAGTAATACTAGAGGCCTGAAGCTATCAATCTAACCCTGACAAAGCCCCAAATGGGTCCCCTCAATGTAGGGTCCCCCAAACATATGTTTTACAAAAAAATTATCTTGATTAGACATTGTTAATTTTCAAAGAGAATTATTTATTGATTATACGAAGTGTTGAATTTGAAAATGAAATGTTTAAAAATAGAAAAAGAATCAAGATTCATGATTCATGATTTTTAAGACTCAGATTGATAGTTTCTATCAGATATCAATCATTCCCCAAATTGACTATTTTCGTCTTTCTTAATCCTGAATCAGTCATAGAGATATAAACTAATATGAAGTAACTATATTTGATGTCTTGATTTGATAAAAGTAAAAACTTATACGTAGTAATTTATTTATATTCTTTAACTTTTTTAAATAAATTTTTGTTGACAATTGAGGGGAAAATCGTGAGCTGCAATGCCTATCCCTAAGAATTTCTTTGTTCTGCATTGAATATGTTTTTATTTGATTTATTTCTTTTTCTAATCATTGGAAGTCATGTAGTTTTCTCATAATAGAACTACTTGAACATATATTTTTTTTAATCACATTAATTATTTTCATTTTCTCTAGGAGGAGAAGTTAAAAGATAAGCCTGGGTATGAACACCTTAAAGAACCATTGCACATCGTTCTGGAAGCTGAATTTCCCGAGGATATCTTAAATGATCGTGTGGATTATGCTGTGAAAATCCTGGAAGACCTTCTAAAGCCTGTGGTATGAGTAGACACATTTCTGCATAGTAGTCACCTTGTTGACTAGTTGTTATGGTGATTATTTACTCTGAAAAAAATTCCCATTTCAGTCCCTTGAGTTTTAGGTCATTCTTACTTTGGATCCTGTCTTTTTTTTTGCACTTTTGGTGTCTTACATTGTTCTTCCTTTTTGGTCCTCTCGGTTACTTATCTTACCAATTCACTTATATAGTTAATAGTTATATTACTCTATTAGTCATTGAAGAGCAGAAGATTAGCACCTTTTGTATTTATTTATTAGACACCGAAGTTCTTTTGACAATGGGCTTGGGTGTCATAATATGACACCCTGTCCATTTGGGCACCCTACGATGCTCCGTTCCACCCTAACCCTGCCTGCCTGTTGTCCTTTTACCCACACCCAATTCGGGTAACTGTGGTAGGGCCCCTTAATGGACCAGTGTTATGTTATGAAGCACATGTGCACTTGTTAGTAGCCAGTGTCGAAACTGGCCTCTTTATCTGAAGCACATGTGCACTTCACATTCTCATTCCATTTGCAGGATGAACCTATGGATCACTATAAGAAACAGCAGCTAAGGGAACTGGCCTTGCTCAATGGAACCCTCCGGGAAGAAAGCCCGAACATGAGCCCAGGAATGAGCCCGGCCATGTCTCCATTTAAAGATACAGCGTTGAAACGTGCCAAGACTGGAGCATAACAACCAATGTCTATTCGCGCTTGCGGGTCCCACTTTCTCCTCATTCTTTGCCAACCAGGCTCAAGGACACACTCCTCAGTTTAGTCAATTCTGGACTCAACAACAGCAAGCAATGTGTGCAACTACTCAGCCAGTGCAGCTCATTTGGATGGGGGCAAACATGGTATTTTGCTTGGCCCTTGGATTAGATATTTAGATTCCAGTTTTACATCATCAAAATACAATAATTGGGTTTTCATTTATGACCAGTTTTGTGTTGGTAGATAGTCAGAAGTGCATTAACTGACCACAGAAGACATAAATATTTGATTTTGATAAAGCTTGATTGACTCATTACATTGATTGATAAATTCTTAAATGGCAAGGTCCACTTAAGATTTCTTGGACTATTTTTTAGCACTAATGAATAATTTTTGGACTTTCTAAATAGTTACGAGTACATAATAATTTCATAGTATGATGTTATGATAAACACTTGTTATATACGGAGTACTCTGTATCTACTACCTTTATCCAAGTGTATTTGTTTAGTTTGATTTTTATGAGTCAAATTGGACGAACAAAAACATCAATTAAATAAAAATTATAATGTATATAGCATAGTGTACAAATGATTTCATTATTTTTGCCTTGTAGAGAACTTTTAATATTTTATTTTATTATAATAATATGCAATACAAATTTAGAGTAATTAATGATTAAAGTTTGTCTAATTTTAATATATTAGGAAGGAGGGAGTATTTTTATTAGCGTTTATGAGAAGCACTATATTTCAAATTTTATTCATTATCATTGTTTATGTTTGTAACTTACTCCGTATTTGATATAATAATATAATCTTATTATTTCTTGATTCGTAGAACTCTCGATGTATAGAATAGTTTTTTTAATATATGGAGAATAATTTTTATTTTTTAAATCTACTTACAATTTTTAAATAATTAAATAATATTTTTAATCAAATTTCGTGAATAAAAATAAGTAATGCTATTTGGGACGGAGGGAGTAAATGGGAAGATTAACAAAGTCCCCAAATACAACACTATTTATGAATAATCTTTTGTCTGCATCTTGTTTTTCTCATGCATGGGGATATAATTTCTACACTTTGGGACAAAAGGGATTCATTTTCTTTGATTGAAGAAATTTGGGCTAAATTACAATAAAGAAAAAAGGTTTGTTTTTGTTCATTTTTGAAGAAATTTCATGCTTGATTTTCCTCTGTGTTGGGATAATTTGTCATGTGCTCAAACTTAGTTAATATTCTAATGATTAGAAGTGTTGTGCTCGGTACCATATATTTATGGGAGATGCTAGGAGTACACCATTTGGTGTACCCCATTTGTACACCACCCCCTCCATAACCATTCATTCATTTTTTATTTTTATTTACTTAATTTTTTTTAAATTTCTTGCCTATTTAAGTGGTAATGGAGGGGGTGGGGGACAAATGGAGTACACCTTTGGTGTACACCTAGCATTTTCCTATATTTATTCCAGTCTCTATGTGTTTTTTCATTTTAAAAATATAAAGGTCAAAAAAAGAATTATCATTTTCTTCATGATCATCCTTAAAAATGCTTGTAGCAAAATTGGTATGGTCCAAAGTCTTTCTCTTTCTTCTGTACCACTTTTAGCAACATAATTTGACGTAAAAACTTTACAATCGATTAATGTTTATTTGGAGGTAAGGAAAAGAATTATTTTAACTTTTTAACGCTAAAATTGGCAGGTTTTGTTTTATATTATACTTCTTTCATCCCAAAAAGATATTCTCATTTTGACTTTTAGAAAATTTAAAAAAAATATATGTTTGTGTCAACTTTCCAAAAATACCTTTAATTTGATGGATAGAAATAGAATATGATGTGTTGCTTATTAATAAAAAGATATGATGTGATAGAAATGTACGAATTGGTAGGGATAAAAGTAGTTTTTTGATATAAATGGAAAAGATTTTATAGGACAACTAAAAAAAGAAAGAGTTTTTAAGATGGAGGAAATATTTAATACTCCATTCTTTTATCTAATCACAATAATGTACTCCCTCCGTCCCATTTTATAACGCCTGTTTCGGTTTACGATGTTTGACTGAAGTTATTTTCAAATCATTTTATATGACAAATGGTATAGAGTTAAAAAATAAAAATTACATATCAAAATACTATATCAAAAGATCTACAAAACTAGTAGTGACAACAATATTTTATTTTATCAAATTGCTAACGAAAATAGAGAAAGAAAGTGATTGAAGTTTGACCCTGTGAATAGTGAACAAGTATTATAATTTGGGACGGAGGGAGTATAAGTTTTACGTAACAAAGGTCGAAAGTGAATGACTATAAAAATTCAAAACTAGACAAAACAAAGATATTAGATAGATAAAAAATGATTCCAATAAATTAATTACATTTGAGGATAACAATTTTGAAGGGCAATTTGCACATTGGAAATCTTTGCTTAGTGGACTCTATTCATCTATAGTTCGAATCAAATGTTGGTCCGGTCGGTCCGCTCTTTACGTACAAATCTCTCCTATGCATTTTTTGCAACAACAACGCTACTTTAACCGCTGAGGACGACACCAAGGTTGACACCCAAATGTGCACCGTGTCGGTGTTACGCCATTTGTATGACCGTAACATGACCCTTTCTACGCCATGTATGAAACCGAGCCACACCATACACGGTTCAAAAAAAAGTTCTTCCCAACCGTCACTACCGTCCTGTGGTCCCCACGTAATGAAGGAGGGACATTGTCGTTTGGTCGTTGTACACCTTCGTGTGCTTGGCGGCGCTGTTGTTGAGGCGCGCTTTGCGCACGGCGTTTTGGATCTGTCTCTCGTGTTCCTTGAGGATCTCTTCTATGTTACCCCCCGGCGTGAGCAAAGGCCCCGAGTAGTGCATTCGCTTATTACCCTTTTGCCCATAACCCTGTGGTGCATAAATAATATAGTCAGTATACATTTAAAAAAATAGATTAGCAAATTTGAACCTAGGAAAATGAGAAGTGAACATATATATAACGGAGGAGTTCTAGCGACACCGGAGTACGGTGACACTCCGGTGCCACTGTCATTTGGGGAACTTCCGATGCTCTGTTCGTAAAATTGACAGTTCATACCCTCCTAATCCACCCCCTAAACCCCCAACCCTATCCCCGCCCTTGCACCACCACCNGTAAGCCCCCCACAAAATGTATGGCTATTATGGAAATGACAGTGGCACCACCACTAGTGTCTCCAAAAACCGGTGTCACTAGAACCCCACCGTATATAAAATTAGTTTTCCTCTTCTTGGTTTATTTTTTCTTCTCATTTTCTTTTCGATCTACTTTTTCTTTTCTTTTTTTTTTTCTTTAACCAAACAAAACAAAACCATATTAAAACCATGATTTCCTCCATTCTAGGCGGATGCAAATTACACCCTTACCCTTGTGCACTCCTTTCTAGTCGGTTGCGGATTCTTCCTAAAGCCATGGTTTCCTCCTCCAATGCCAAGCAAAGAATGAGACGACTCGGGGTCATTCAAGGGATTATATTTTGTCCCGAACCGCTTATCTGGCCAATTCGACTGGACGAGATCAAATCTCGAACTGCCGCCACTGGCTGCCAACGAATTCGAGAATCTTGACAATTCTGCCCCTGCACCTCCTCCTCCTTGAGGTCGGTATGACCTCTGTGTTCTAAGCTCTGCATGACCATAGCCCGAAGAATCGAGCTCGTTCCACACCTCGTGCATCTCGAGATTGCCATTGTATGCAGATCCTCTGGAGGGCACGCCTGGAATGACCAAATTACCCCTGTCTGCAGGATCGTACTGCTCGCTGACACACTTGAGGTTCGACTGCCCACGGCGTTTCTGATAAACACCATACAATGTGAATAGATAGACATCCCAAGCTCACTTGAAAGTTGGATATGATTGTGTTCAACACACACACACACACACACACATAGTGGGGATCAAGTGAGAATGCTCTTAACATAAGAAATGCAAATGGTGCATTTTTTTCGTCCATCACAATGCACCTTTGCATTATGGCAGTGCATTTTTGCAGTGGCATAAACATTCAACTTATTTACTAAAATGCCATTGTGTTTTTCCAGATTTTTTTCTTACTTTTTCTAATTTTATGGCTCTTAGATCTTTTACTCTAATGCACCACATGCATTCTCATTTCTTTTACTATATCTGATGGATATCTAATGGCAATATTTCGCTTTCGTATTTTCAAAATTAATCGATACTGTTAAAAATTGTATCCAAAATGCTAATTGAAAACATTGTTCCTAAAGAAGGCCGATATCGACATTTTCATCCAAATAGTAGAGGTAAAAAGTCATTTACCAAGCATTTATTTTAGCATTTTTATCCAAGGAATAAATTGGTCAAAACATGATAACATTTAGTCAAACAGCAATTTACAAAACACCTTCTAAATTAGAAAATACCTGAATTGATTGCAACTCAGCGTTAGCAACTGGTGCAGGCACATCTTTAGATGCGCATGTATCCTGATTACCGCCACCTTTTTGCCTAGCCATCAAGAAGATAAATCATAAGGAAAAAAAGCGTTTGCTGCAATTATAATATTTTAATCCAAGTCAAAATATTAAAAAAAAAAGGAAATAACAATATTCTCACTGTCCCAAAATGAAGTCTACGGTTTGACTTCATGGAGTTAGGAAACATGTTGAAATTTGTATTAAAAAAATGTGGTTGAAGTTTGTTTAGAACAGAAAGAAATGACACAAGCCACATTCTTTTCCTAAAAAGGAAACGAGATAAGTGTGAAATATATTTTGGGACGTCCCGAAAAAAAATGTAGACTTCATTTTGAGACAGTGGGAATAGTATAAAAAACAAAACATATTTACCGCCTAACTTCCTCATCGCGCATCTTGGCATCAAATTCCTTGCTTGGCGGGTACTTTGGCAGAGAAGATGGATCACATGGAAGAGGGTCTGTTGTGAAGAACTGGAAAAAGTTGTGCATAAAAATATTTGAGCTTCACAAGTATACATACTAGCGAGATAGAGATCATGTTGACCTTATGATATATATATATATATACACACACACACACACACATATATATGGAGAACAAAACTTCACCTCACTTTGAAGAGCTGAGGTTGCAGATCCGCGACACTCCGGTTCAAAAGCGAGGAGAGAATCAAGAATGGACAATGCTGAAGAAGGGAAGTCTTTGAATGTCTCTGAGAAACGGCGTTTATAAGGCTGTTGAGGTTTGAAGATCGTTGCATGTGGCAGTTTTGATTTTACCCAGTATTCATCAGATGGTGATCCACAGAGTTTGAAGATTTTATGTAGTTGTTCAACCTGAAAAGATTCTTTTTTAAATATAGTTCATGTGAATAAATAAATGACCAGGACACTATACTACCATTTTAGAT